TGGGGCGTCGGCGGCGCCGCGGCGGACATCTTGGGTGGGGGCCAGCTCGCAAGCGGAACAAGGCGTTCGCCGCCATCTTTGGTGCGGGCGGATCGAGCTCCTCGCAGCGAGTTGTGTGTGCCGGCATCCGGCTGAGCTCGTTTAGTCGGTCGCATACAGTGAAAAATACTTGTAGTTTAACTTTTTGATGTTGAAGAGTTATTAGTTTGCCAGTAGCGCTTAAATAAAAACATACTTGCTGTTCCAGGGACATGCTGGAGAAAGAAAGTTCACGCTGAGGCAGGATCAGTGCCCGTTGATGGGGGTTCAAGCCCAGACAGGGCACCCCAGTTTTAATTAGGAGGCTCAAACAAACCCAAACCTTCAGTTATTGGGGACAAGCGCAGGCAGCAGAGCTTTCTGCACCTTAAGTGTCACTCTGCTCTTTGTTGTCCCACCGACGACTTCAATTCAATGTCCGCTTCTACAGTAGTCAGAAACTAGCCCAAAAAAAAAAAGACCCAAAACAGCAACAACACCCCCCACCCCCACCCCCCCCAAGCAGCAAGTAGCAGATCTCCTCAGTTCCCTAACGGCAGCCCCGTCTCCTGCGGCCATGCGCTGGTGGGGCCTGCTGGGCCCGTGCTCCCGGCCCTGCCACACCAACCCCACCTCTGTGGGGCCATCGCCCCCATCATCCTTTCCCCACCTCCCCACTGCATCTTCCCACCCTCTCCATTCCACTGGGAGCCACCTCAGAGAGCTCAAATGACCAAAACCAAATCACTCCCTCGGTTGTTTACATCGTGCTGCTGCCTTAGGCTGGTCTGGTCCTCGCCATGTACTCCATACTGCCTTCACCTGCCAGCCTCCCAGCCGGCTACCCCAGACAGTCGCCCCTCGTCTGCCCAACTGGGCCTGGCAGGCTTCCAGCCGGCCGCTACCTTTCCTCTGCCAGGCCTGTCCAAATAGTTGGAGCTTCTTCCTCACGGTTTGCTGAAAGACTTCTTATGCATCAGTCTTTCTTTCCTTGATCTGACCGTTGAAGGATTCCACAACCTAACCCAAATCAGCTAACATAACCCGGCCCCCCAAAAAGGGCTATCGAGAAAGCCAGTACCTGAAATTTGATAGTCCTTTCCCCCTCTGTGTAAAACATGATCGCTACTACCCACTTGTTGATCTGCTTGTTTCTCTATGTTGGTTTTCTTTTTTTTTTTCCTGGGACGTTTGTACCACCATAATCTTTTTAGGCCAATTAGCGCCCTGTTTAAAGTGCCTTGGGGAAATGAATTGTAGTCCTTTTAAACAACACCAGTAGCAACCTTCTAGTTGTGAATTCCTTGATCACATTCATCTGAAGAACTCAAACAGTTTTACGTTCATCAAAACAGAGGAGGATGAAGCTGAGCTACCCTGGACCTCCCTGCTGGTTGCTGGTTACCTTCTTAAATTAGTCATATAACATGTACAGAGGCAGTGAACCTCTTTTTTTTTTTTTTATCCCCTTTGCTCAAATGATTTTGAAGTTTGGATTAAATCAGAAGGCATGAAAACAGAAACAAAACACTGAAAACAAAACCATTTGCAATTCTTTGCTTTGATACTCCTACTTGGTTCACAGGCTTGAGCTCTCAGGTTTTGCTTTTATCTTAACCTTTCCTGGAACCCTGGAGATCCCCTTGGCCCATGAATCTCGCAGCAATATCAGCCTGTGCAAGAGAGCTGCACGGGACTACTGATACAAGCAAAATTATTCAAATATAAAAGTGTTTTGGATCTGCAGTTTCAGTTGATACCTAATGCACAGTATTGCTTCATGGTTCTGAGTTGCATGGGCCCCAGTTCAGGAGAAAATGTAAGCACAGGTGTAAGTCAAAATTGAAGCATGTACTTAAGAGCTTTGCGTTATTTACCTTAGTCTATAACTCTTCCCTTAGTAATAATACTACCAAAAAATGGTTCTTTGAGGCCTGACTGTCTGCATTCCTCCAAAAGGATTTGTCTGTAAAATAACCTCCTTATTTTCAACTTTGTCCTCACTGAGGACTAATGCCTTTTATACATTTGAAGAGAGGCACATCAGTGGAAGTTACAATCACTCAAAAGCATTGTCATGGTGCTTCATTCTTTTTACTGCTCACAGTGACTAGTAATTGTTATCTCTGAGTGGCAGAGGAAAATACCAGCACATGGGAGATGCAACTAGAAGTCCAACAACCAAATCTTTTGTGTAAACTGTAGCATTAGCTGAGAGAGGAAGTTGTTTTGTTATATTGTGGCATTGAGAAAACATATTTTCCAAATACTCCTGCCAAGAGATCTCTCTGCAATCACACCAAGGAATTACTGCGCCTCGGTGATAGCACAGTGCAAGCAAATGATTGGTTCAGCTCTCGCAGCTCTCCCATAGTATCCATGTAAAAAGACAGCAAGTGAAACATACAGCTAGCTTAACGAGTCCTGTGTGGATAGGAGACTCAATTAAAATTAAATTATACAACAAATTAGGTTTTAAATGCTGCGCTGCTTAGCCAGCCAGACAAATAATAATTAGAGATGTACTGATCTGCTGCTATGTGCAGTTGAATAGCAGACTGCTCTAACTGCTTTCAATGTACACTGAGGACACTTCCCTCCCAGCTCAGGGTAGTTTTGTATGACATTCCAAGTAAGCCATCCCTCAACAGGCCCATTTTGTACTTGTTACCCTCCTGAGCTGGGCAGAATGGACAGGATCTTTTTCTGGAGTCTGTCTTTCCCATCTCTTCCATCAATTAATGTTTTTTTAGCAATATACCTCCCCTTCTTCTTTCTTTCTAGAATCCAGGTCATTCTAGATGGAATTAATTTTCAGGCTGTGAATTGTGTAGGTATACATATATTAGATTCAGGAGAAAAAGAAGCTACAAATATTATTTCTTTTTTCCCCCTGCCAATAGCAGTACACATACCAGCAGTTTTTAAAATACTATACGATGCATAGATGGATACAGCCAGAAACTGCCACCTCTGATACCAGTTCTAGCAAAAGACATTTAGGAGTTCCCAATAAAGAACAACATAGAAATCAGTCCAATTGAAAATGACCTGAAGGCAGCTACTCAAATCCTACTGTAAAATTTCAAATGTATTTGTGCTGCATTGATGTCTGGAGCCCTCTATCACCCTGTGATAGATAACATTCAGAAAGACTGGTACTGTTTAATTTTCTCTGCAATTTTTTTCAACTCTGGTGAAAGTAATATTAAATTCGTAACATCAGATCTGGCAAATGCAACATGGAAAATATGTTTCATGATTAAACTAATAATTGTGTGTTCTGCATGGAAAATAAAGTATTTAAAGACCATCCTAAGCCAGCAAGAGTAATGTTATCATACAGCCATCTTCAGTTGTGGTTTCCTGCTGCTGGCTGCTTGTCAGTGGGTAAGGAAAAATAGCTTTGTAGCACAAAAGAAAACATCCCAAGGACAGACTTTAGTCAATGATTTTTCCAAATACTGATAGTCCAGTCCTGCAGATTGATGTTCCTGCCACGCTGTAAGTGAGAATGCACTATTAACATGAAGGGTTTCCCGAGTCAGGCAGCCAGCCCCAGATCTCTTCCTTATTATATGGTAGAGAAAGGAAGACAGCCAGAGACATCATATGTGAAGGCAACGGGAGAAGGATCATTTATGTCCTTTTTCTTATACCATCTATCCAGACATTCATTACTGACCACTGCTAGTGTCTGGGAAACTTTTAACCTAGGGGAAACTAGCATGGCAGTTCCTGTGTTGTGACTCTCTTGCCTTATTAGTCCACTGCAAAGCTTTTCAATTAGCCATGAGTTACAAGGTTAAACAGCAATGAGTTTGAGTTTAAGTATGTCAAAAGGAAGGACTCCCTGGGAAATGCCAAGGACCTTCCAGGAAATCAAACAAAACCAACACACTGAAATCATGCACACAGGAGCTAATGAAACAATGCAGTTCACACAGAATCACAGAACGGTCAGGGTTGGAAGGGACCTTTGCGGATCATCTAGTCCAACCCCCAAGGAAGAAGTTCCTTTCGGCAGGGACCATGATGGAGCTTTGCTGCTGGGGCAGAAGGAGAGATGAAGAGACTGTGCTGTGCTCAGCTGACAAACATAGATCAAAAATAATGCAATTATTGTTCACACTTCACAGGTTAGCTTCACTGGATGCAGTACTGATTGACAACATTCCCAGTTCTCTTTGAACCCTCTTTGTAAATGCAGCCAGGTATTTCCTGAAGAGACCTAACAAACCATAATAATTAAAAAACCTTGCTGAGATTTCTCTTTAGAAATCACTAACATCCAATTACTATG